ACATTTTATCGTTGTATTTTATATCTTCTTGTCGATAAAATGTTTGTTTTTTTATATATTTCAGAGATTAGTTAAAAAAAGTACTGAATCATGTTCAACAAGGTTTCAATCTCAACTTTCTGCTATAAATCCATAAATGAACGGTCTCATGATATTTCTAAGAAGATTTCGTAAAAGTTGAGAAAGATTGCTTATATTGTCACAACTTATTTGATCCTTTCAGCTTCTATATTTTCTTTGTATATCTAAGATAGATCGATTCAACAATAAATGATTTACCTTCAACAAATGGATGTATACAAAAAATATTGCAATACGATGATTTGTTTGCACGAAGAAGGAGATCAATAAAAATTGAAGCCTATCGGACGAATTTTTATTTTATTAAAATTCAATTCGAAAAAAAAAAAAGTAAAAAAGAAATCATATATTTTTATTTATATATGTATACATATCACAAAGAACAATTATATTCATCCGGTTTATAAATATAAATAAATTTTAGTACAAAAAATAATAAAGAATAACAAAAAAAAAATCAAACTTTATTTTTTTTCAATCTAAAATTAAACATACAATTGACTACAACATATTGTCAAATGTTCAAGATCAGTTGTATCGCCATTGTTTAATAATTTTTTATCACAAAATGGACAATTCAATTCTACTCGTTCGACAGAAACATTAAGACTATCAACGTTTACTGTAGATAAACAATTTGCAATATGATTATGTATTTCAACTTCACTACTTGTTGTAGGATATTCATGATTACACATGCAACATTTTTTTTTAATATTATTTTGTAATTCTCGAGTTAATGGTGGTATTGAACACGTAGTTGTATGACTTTTTTCATTTTTATCTATTTCTAAAATACATTATAGGCGAATTCATACTTTCGAAGATGCCAAAAAAAAAATTTTCTTTTTTCCTTTTTATTTTTAATCACTATCAAATCTGAATGCTAAAGTACAACTTTTACTCTTCAAAAAGAGTAAATAAAGAATGTTTTAATAAGAATGTTGATATAATTTGAATTTCTATTGAGATTTTACTAAGATATCAATTTTTTTTTCTAAAGATCCTTGGTTTATTGAAAACTCATATTTTCGCAGTATTTATAGTCAAAGAATCATTGAAATTGGAAGAGAACATGTAAGGAGGTTGTCTTGTTAGTCATTTATTCGCTTAGATATTTACCTTCTTGGGTTAATAGTTTGGTAAGTTCATTGATTTGATTTAGTTGCATTTCAACTAAGTTGTAAAGTCTTCTTGTTTCCTCTTGTATTTGCATCCATTCTTCAGAATCAACTATGGAATCTAAATTTCTGATGAATCAAATAATTATTCTTGCATAAATTATCTTACTTATTTGGTAGATTTCTCTACTAATATTATTATCATTTTCTAATGTTATCATCCTTTTTTTTAAATGTGAAATTTCATTGTAGAGTTCTTCATTTTTTTCTCTTTGTTCAATAAATCTTTTATCATGTAATTCCACTATTTCGACAACTAATGTATCTAAATCTTTCATCTTTTCTTGATTTGAAGAATATACTGGTCGAATAATATCAACAAGACGTGTTATTAAGTTCCGATTACAATCTAATTGTGTATTAGATTCCTGTTTAAGATCTTGTCGATAGTAATTTATAATTTGTTCAAGTTGTTTAGTAGTTTCTTGTAAATCATGTTGAATACATATATAATCACGGCTACCATCAGAATTTGTTGGATTATTTTGATCATATACAACATTTGATGTTGTTAGTGAAGTTGTGTTGAAAGATTCATGAGCTTGTTGTGAATCTTTTGGAACAGGTATATCAGTACTTGTTGATGCATTATCAAAATCAGATGATAACAAAGACTTTATAATAGTTATATCGGTATCATGCTAAATAAATCCAAACAAAAAATGTAATAAAATTTTGTATGCTGTTTAAATTTACTTGATTGTCGTGAGCAGAAGAATTATACATAGCCATCGGAAATCAGGAATGATATTTTTGTTGAGTCTGTTTTGAATACGTAGTTTAGAAGAATAGAGGTCACCTATAAGAATGAAGGGAAGAAATTATTTTCGCAAAATGTCCAACCTTATGATTATTGTTTCAAAAAGAAACATAACTGACGTTTTATGAGCAGATAAGGACAGTAAAATTATCAATATTTACTCAGGAAAAAAGTCTGTTTTATATTTAGACTACTGATTCAATAGTAAATTCATAAAAAGAAAGAGAAACCAGCGTTTCATCGTCCGATGAAAGTTTTAGATATCCACAATTTTTGCATTTCAATCATATCGTTAACTGTATTATAAATACTAAAAGTAAACAGATAAAATTCTTGTGCATAAAGTTTTATTGAAAGAACGATTATCCTATGCTATTTGAATTATGTCGCTATGATCTAAAGATTGAAGAGTCACACGAATTTCGTTGAAAAGCTTTTATAAAGTATTATGTTCCAATATGATCCTTTTTTAAAACTGCGATACGAAGTTCAGTTTTTTGTCAATTCACTTCACAAAATGATGATTTTTAAGTGAAAACGAGTTCCAGTAGCAACAGTGAATTATTGCAGGGCCCACAATGCTAGCTATGTATATCCCTATTTTCCAATGATTAGAGAAAAACCACATTATAGTTCTTTTTTTTTCAAAGAGAGATTCATTGCTGATTGTATCTGATTGACTGTTTGTGCATTCTTTCCAGTTCCGTAAATTTGAAGTTTCTTTATATTATTATCAGCAAGAGCATAAATTCAATTCAAAATGACACAATGTGTATGAGTATGAGTGTGATTGGTTGAATAGTTGAAAAGATGCACTACACGGCACGTACATCGACATTGACCCACATTCGGACACTCTCATTTGCATCCACCCTTATAAATGCATTTGATATTAATATTTAATTGGGCTTGTGAAGTAATATATTATACAGAAAGAGTTGAACATTCAGTTGAGGCTCAAGCAAGTCACAATGACAAGAGCTACTTTTTATACATGGTACGATCTATTAGAAGTCTTTTACAGCAATTCTGTCATATAATATGGTCAACTAAAAATACATTTGATCTCACTGGAACCGATGAGCGAAATCAAGATATCTTCAGATTACGTAGGCATCAGAGACTGACGGGACGATCAGAAACTGTCCCGGTAAGGCCCGGCGGGAGTTGTTCAGAGACTGTATCCCGTCTCGTCCTGTCCCCCATAGATATTTTCACTCCCGTTCCGTCCCACGTCCCGTTAAATTTTTTTCAATCCCGTCCCGGCTAATCCCATGGTCATGTTTTCTCCAAAAGTAGACGGGGTATATAAGCTTTACACAATGTAAAGATAGAGATGAGGACGTTGTATAAAGATGGAACATTATTGGTCTGGATGCATGAGAGAACATTCTTGAAAGTTAGTAGTAAACGGACTAAACCATCGACGATATCAGGATCGATAGCAAATTGTTTTTGTTTTAATTATGAGATTTTTTTCAAAACGTCGAACGAACGAGAGATAGATTCTAGCAGGTAGACAAGAGAGAGCCAATGAATATTCGATGATTGTTTGAGTGTCACACCATCCGAATTTTTAATGTACTTGTTCAAGCCGGCCGAAACGTACTTCAGATGATACCTATGACAGGAAAATGAAGTGGCAAACTCACCTTTTTTACGTATTTTACAAATGTGTTACAAGCAAATTTGAATTTCAGGCAAAATTGGTTTCTTTTGGCACTTCTATCAAATTCAATTTTGACTAGGCAGAATTCGTTCTCTGTTCGTGATTATTTTATATCATGTAACTACCAATTTTTTTTATTTTCATGAACAAAGTTCATTGAGTGTTGAATAGCTTTCGATATTTTCTTTTGCAATATCAACAATGACATTACAACAATCAATTTATTCTCATCCATTATCAATGATTTTGCACGTGAAAAATTTTATAAACTTCCTAAAAAACATATTGATGCGTTAAATCCTAAATTTCGTAATAAAGCTGTTATCACTCGTGTTCAAAGCAAAAAAATAGTCAATGTACTTCAGAACAAGC